ATCTCAGGGAGTTTACTCTCTAATGCCAGATGCAAGTGGGAGTCTCTGAGTCATCATGAGAACATGCAACATGAATGCAGATTCACAGTAGACACAGTAGATGATTCTCTGAAGAATCATCACCCAGAAAATAGCAGCACTATCCTGGAGCTGACACCTGGAGTCAGGCCCATCCTGCTCAGCAACATAACAAAGAGCAGCAAGAGCAGCTAGGGCTGATTACAAAGCAAAGTTTAAGGAGCTGTCAACATACAGTTGGTAAGTCCCTAGGAGGTATGCTAACTGTAGAAGAGGCCAGCTGACTATACACATGGCTGAGAAGAAAAGACTCAGGGGACAATGACTGGCAAGGAATATAAGATGAGGCTAGGTGGTGGACAGGCTACCACTTAAGTCCTGGCTAAGGATGATGGGAATGGGAGGCCTGAGTAGTTGGCTCTCCTGTCCTCAAGGTTAAGAGTGAGCCAAGATGAATCCAGAAATAATGGCAGAGGTCTGATAGAGAAGTGGTTGCTCAGGATTCACATAAATATGAATAGAAAACTGATGAATGAATAAGCAAAAGGTGCTATATATATCCAATGAAATATTACTTGGCTATAAAAAGGAATAAAGTACCAATATATACTACAACTTGGATAAACCTCAAAAATATCATACTAAATGAATGATGCCATTTGCGTAGAGATGGAAAGCAAATTGCTGGCTGCCAGGGGCTGGGGCAAGAGCGAACAAGGAGAGAACACTAATAGGCACAAGGTTTCCTTTTGGAGTAATGAAAATGTCTTGGAATTGGATAGAGACTGTACAACGTTGTGAATTACTAAAGGCCACTCAATTGTGTACCTTAAGATGGTTAATTTTATGTTACGTGACTTTTACTGCAATAAAATACACAGTCACAGAGACACTTGCACACATACACACACACAAGACAAATGGATGGAGCCTCTATTGTGTTCCTCTAAGGGGAGCTCTCCCTGGCCTAGTGGGAAAGAACATTGATTTTCTTCTCTCTAGGTTGTCAACTCCCCAACAGGGGCAGGAGCTGGACTCTACTTATCATTGGAGAGCCCAGAGGGCCTAGTATATAGTAAGTATAGTGTACCGAATGAGCTGAATTGCCGCATGTTAAAGTGAAGACAAAACAGTAATGTTTTTCCTCTCAAGTTAAATAGTTTGTCTGTTGCATCTATTTATTTATTAATTTGGTTGGTTGGTTTTTGAGACAGGATCTCACTATACAGCTCAGGTGGGCCTGGAATTTACTACGTAATCCAGGTCATCCTCAAACTCACAATACACCTATGTAGCTCAGTCTCTTGAGTGCTGGGATTACAGGCATACAATACTATGTCTGGCTTTAAATGTTCACTCTTTATATAGGTATTATCAAGGTGAGTGTAGTCAAAGCTTACAGATACCTATTGTTATACACAGGGTTAATATATTTCTGTGGGTTCCTTTATTTTTCTCTTGGTCACAGGGCCTCCCTAATTGAAATTCTCTGTAGTTCTACAAAGGCAAACGTCGTAAGATTTTCTGCCTTTGGCAATTGTAGAAAGTCTTTACCTGTAGGATACATGGTAGTTCGCATGAAAGAAGATAGCTCACATGGGCAAGGTTTGCCAATATGAAGATTTCTAAGGGAAATTCTGGAAGCCAAAAATGGTAGGTATAAGAGGTATACTCCCTGAGACTAGATCTGTGAAAGCTTTCTCTGTTCCTCCTTTCAACTGATTGCATTCATAAGAGATATAAAATTGAAAGGATGTGAAATATGATCTTATTCAGACAGACAATGTACTGGATTGTTTAACTCTCTAAAAGCTGAGTGGCGTGTATCTACATAATAGGATAATAGCTCTGATAACCCAGTTGACATGGATATTTTTCAATATTTTTGTCATCATCTGTATTTTCATTTTGATCAAGTATCTCCAATGACAAGTAACATTCCCTGTCAGAATTCTGGATTTTTGTATGTTTTATTGGCTAAAAGTAAAATAATTTAAAAGAACACAACCTATAAAGATAACAAAGTTATAACTCATTTGACACTATGAAGTGACTACTGTTACTTAAGACTAAATTAAATGAAAAGCTCTGGAAAGACGTTTTAACTGTAGATGAGCCATGAGAAAAGCTAATCTTTATAAATGATACACGTAGAGGGCACACATGTCCTCGGGCTAAAGAACTTCACATTATTAAGTATATTCCTAAGGAATTTTTTTAAAAAAACTAGTGTGGCACTATTCCCTAGTCTCATCATTGTATTAGATCAGTAATACAAGTACAGGTTAATTATAACTCAAGGTTACTAAGCAAAGAGAAGTGGCTTCCTGGGTTATATTACCCTTATTCTGTCGGCAAATACGTTTGATTTCTTCCCCTCTCTCCCTCCTTCCCTTCCTTCTTCTTCCCTCCTTTCTTTTCTGGATAGTATGTATCAACAACAAAAGTAGTTTTGAAAAAATAGATCATTCAGAAGTCAAAATGAGAGTTTGGAATAAAACCTTATCTCCATATTAATTATTCTATTATTTTGTTTAATACCGTAAGGTAGTTAAAAGAAGCAAATTAAAATTAAAAACATTCAATTAACGGGAGCTGGAGGTGTAGCTTGGTGGTAAAACAGTAGTGCACAAGAGGTCCTGGCTCCCATTGCCAGTACCACCAAAATTGTTTTTCAGTCAACAGAGTTCTTTTAATGGTATAAACATGCATTTGGCTAGCTTTTGGATTTACTCAAATTCAGCAGGCTTTGGATTATACCATTTGATCAAAAAGAACAGTTTTGGTTCCAAGGTAATGTCCATCACAAAAGTATTCTGGCCATGAAGTAGCTGAGATGACCAAAATTCAATAAAAATTCCACTAATTCAAAACACATAGGTCTGGGAAGATATTCTTCTGAATTAACTAAAGCTACATCTTCTGATTGTTTTTTCCTTAAACAACAGAAGATATATTCAATGGGGATTTGCTTGCTTTAAATAATTACAATGATGAAGAAGTTAGTATTACTGCTTGATACATAGTAAGTGTTCAACTATTTGCTAAACAAGTGAATTAACAAATGAACACAGTAGCAAACAAAATATATTGTGTATTAAAATTTCCTTTTTACTAAGAGGCCATGGTTAGAAGATATGCCACTTAGAACAAATGTGTATTCAGAGATCATTCAGTTTCCACCATATTAACACAGCAGATGAGCTTATGCAAAAACCACACATGTGACCTGCGATGGTTTCTTTCCTAAGCTACATAGTGTTTATAACACCTGTTTTAAAGCATCCACTTTTTATGAAGTCAAATACCAACTGCTTTTCTCTGACAATTAAAAAACTGTAATAGGTAAGTACATTTTCATGATTCTTCTTAGTACTCCCATGTTTTTAGGATGACCAAAACATGCTATTTCTCCAGGGTGGGGTAGGCTTTGTTCACATTTGCTACAGGGAACTCCATCTCTATGCAAGTTCAGCCATCATCCTGGTTGGCACGCAACCTCAGTCTCATTGTCTTAGGCTAGTAAAATAGCTTAGATGAGAAATAAGCTGTTTTCAGGCATGCGCTTTATCTTGTGTTGGGAAGAGCACAGTTAGACAAGAGGTGTAGCATGAATTTCAGCACATGCCAGTCAGCTAGGGGCTTTGTATCTATGCCCTCACTTAATAGTTATGACAGCCTTCTTAGAAGCCCCTCGCTTACAGGAGAGGACCTTCAGACTTTACAGGTTAAGTGACTCACTCAAGGTCACACACAGTAAGTAGCAGAACTGAGATGCAAAGTGAAGTTCATCTGACTCCAGAGCCTTCAGAGGCTCTGTCCAATGTAACGTCCATTCATTGCATCGCTAATCAACTGAGCATCTTAAGTGCTCGCATTGGGGCCTGTTAGAATGTAAGCTCTTCAAAGTCTGTATCCCTAGCATCTTTGTGCTTAACATGTAATATCTCAAAACATAAATGCTGAAGGTATGAATGAATGGTAAATAAAACACACAGGCTATCAGTCAGAGAGGCTCTGATCCAACCATCTCATTTTTAAAGTAGGGAAACCAAGGCCTAGGGAGGTTAAATTGCTTACCTTAGGTTAAGGAACTAATTAGCAAAAGACTCAGTACTCAATTTCAGGTCTCTTCTGTATTCCCTTCAACATGCTACTGCTTGCACAAACATTTTTAAAAACATGTTCACTCCACATGGTTTCTTAAACATTCTGCTCTCTTGATTTAATTTCTTAATTGCAAGCTATTCCTCAAACATGCAAAGCAATGGAGGTTAGGAATCCCATCTGCCCACTAGAATGAAAACTCCGTGAGGACAGGGAACATGCCCAGCACTTAGAAGGTGTTCAGTAAATATTCGCTGAATAAATAAATATATGTTATTTCTTGTCAGCGATGAGCAAACCCTCACAGACGTTGACAGTTAGCATAGATTATATTAACAGATACGCAAATGATCAGTAATGATCAATAAAACTGCTTGGTGACATGGCACTCCTCTTTTCCTCCCCTTTCTTTTTTCCATCATCTTCTGCTATACAATGGGGGAAAATAACAGGATTCAGTTCATGGGATTGTTGTAAAAATAAAGAGTTAATACAACATACAATGCATTTAGCATGGTGCATCATACACAGTTAACTCTCAATAAATGGTAACTCTGTGACTATGGTTTCTTCAAATGAAATAAACAAAGGCCCCATAATGAGATGAAAGAAGCCAAAAACAAAAAAAGAGTTAGCTTTATGTTCTTTAGACATTTTAAATGTCCCTGAACACACAGTTCTCCATGTGCTTCAAAGTATATAAATTCTATGAGAGCCAGAAGGTAGGCATGGCATCTGGATGAATGCTCACGAGTACGTTTTGTATAGAACGTTTCTTGGGATATTAATGGAGGCAGGTGATTTAATTAACCTTCGATGAATATATGATGACTATTCCTCAAACGCCACCATGACTAACTTTCACAAACCATTACCTCTCCACCAGTTCTTGTCCATTCCAGCACAGGGTGTCATTTTCCGCCACAGGGCTATGGCTGCAAATGTAGCCAGGCAAAGCACTATAGAAGCTGATGAAAGATTTCAACTTCTGAATTAGTTCCCTGAAAGAAAAAACAAAACATCTGCACATAAGAGGCAAGTAAACGCAGTATGAGAAAAGTTTAATTTCCTTACCAGCATGACAGAAGAGCTCTGCCAGGCTGATTAGAGCAATAAATGATTTTTTAAAGACATTCTTGGCTACAAGGCCACAAGTTAGTTTTTTAAAAAAAATCAATAAAATGATATTAGGGGGAAAAAAAGGTTGCCTGCCATATAAGGGGCTGTTCCTATCAGAGGATGATTTAATTCCAACATCCATTTTCTAACACGTTCAGCACCTTCCATTTTTTGTTCAGAATGCTGTTACCTACATTCTCAAAGGTGCTGATTACGAGGCACATTGGAGCATTACATATCTTTTGGTTTCTGAGTGTAATTGAGTGCATTGATTGTAATTTACAATGCTATTACCCTAGAGATGGCCCCTTTCTATATAGGCTCTGGCTAATGGTTGCAGATCAGAATCACAGGGTTCTCAGAACGTTATAAGCTCTATGAAACTCTCCTGATAATATAGTCACAGGAACTCATATCTGCTAGAGGAGGAAGGGTTCTTTGTTCTTTGTCTATTGTGTTTCCTGTGAGGGGGAGGGAAAGGGAGCGGGTTCTATTATATTTGATTATTTATTTGCTTTGACTTTTATGCTGTTTATAATAAGAGAAGTGACTGTGTATGTGTGTGAGATAGAACACATTAGATATGTACATGTGTATAAACATACAGCCATAAATACTAGCAAAATTTCTTGCCTATTATCTTGCTTCAGATGTACATGTATGTATACACAAAGTAAAACATCATGGACTGGAGAGAAGTGAGAAGTGAACATGTTTATGAAGAAAGGTTTAAATATCTATGTAATAGATGTTCGAGGGTAAACAAACAAAAATATACTTTATTTTCTAAAGCAATATGCCTAATAGAAAGTTACAGTGTTCTTCACATCCATGTCTACCTTAAGTCTACACAAAATTTTTGGAGACTCTGGTCAGGGAATTTTCTGGCAGAGAAGTGATTATTCAATACTATCTCCAGATTAAGAGTGATCTGGGTTGATGAACAGGCCTCTGAACACACTAGAGACTTGCATCTCATTTGGAGGACTGGCAGAGTGGCTTAAGTTGTAGAGCCTACCAAGCATGAGGCCTTTAGTTCAAACCCCAGCACCACAAAAAAAAATCATTTGGACAATGGTGTAAGTCCTAAGCCCAAAAATGCTTTCTGGTGGTTGTTCTCAGATCTGGCTAAAAGAGGAAGACAGGTAGAAAGGATCGTCTTGCTATTTTCCATTTTGTTACCATAAAATTATTCATTTCAATGATGAGAGAGAGAGAAAGAGAGGAGAAACACTAGCTCTCAGCACATGTTCACAAAGGATCAGGTCACAGGAAAGCCAGTGTGATGGACAGAACAACTCAAGAAAGGTTATTGGGACATATATAATGCCTGATAGTCCAATAGCTGCTTCCTGTGGTGCCCACATGCCCCTCATAGCCTACTCCTGGTGTCTGGGCACCGTCAATCTCCAAAGAGAAAGATTCAATACATGCTCTGAAAATAAAACTCAACATCACAGTTTCTCACAGAGGAAAAAGATGGGTTCAATTAACAGCTAATAGGAGAGATGCTCTGTTTTACAAGGTAATAATATAGTTCCCAAGAGTGGCAATTGAAAGACTAAAGGCTGAGGCTGAGTAATTCCCCCCACTCCATGAGGAAATGGAATGTGGCCATTAGTCTATGGGAAATGATGGCCTTTTTAATGAAAGAGTTTCCCTTAGGCTTCCTCCTGCCTCCACACCCACTCTCACTAATACAACACACGGCAAGAAAAATAGAACCCATAGCAAGACCTTCCAATTTGATTTCCCTAGAAGCTGAAGATAAAAGCACCCTAAGTTTCTCCCTGTCTCCCAACGCTTGCAGTTTTCTTAGCTGATTATAAAGAAGAAGTTGAAGAAGATTCAGATGAAGTTCCATCTAAATGCCTAAGTGGGAGCAGAAGACCTCCCACTTTAGAATGGAAGGGTCACGATAAAAATCTGCAACAAGCACAAAGAATGTGGATAACGTAACACAGTCTGGGTCATCACATTCTAGAACTTAGGGGAACTCTTTGAAACTTGAACAAGAGAACTTGTAGTAAGAGGTCATCCTACTTCGGAGTATTTATCATGTCTGTCATATAGGATGAATATAGAAGACTGTGTTTTAGAAATTTACCTCTAAATTAGCAATTTTGAATTCAGAACAGTTTCATTTAGCAACTATGTGATAATTATGGTTGGGCTCTCAGAACAGCACTTCGAAACATTTTATGAGTAATAGTTAAAAACACTTGATTTTAAAGTGTGACCCAGCTGAGTTTCAAATGCCAGCTACTCTCTCACCCAGAAGAGAACCCATAGGTGAATTCTAAAGTTCTCTGCACTTTAGTTTCCTCACTTGTAAAAGGAAGAGACTGATAGCAACTAATTCACAAAGTTGTTTCACAAGGATGATTCAACGACACAATGCATGTAAGGTATTTAACAGGGTACCTACACACATAAGCACAGACTCATCCCTCCACAATGGTAACCATTTTCGAGAATCTGCTGGACTAGAGGCATGGCTCAAGTGGTAAGAGCACCTGCCTAGCAAGCTTGAGGCCCTGAGCTCAAACCCCAGTACTGCAAAAAGAAAGAGAAAAATACATGAAGCAGAAAGGGTTGAAGATGTGGCTCAAGTGGTGAACATTGCGCAGTAAAGGTGAAGCTCTGAGTTCAAACCCCAGTACCACCAAAAAAAGAGAGACAAAATAGGTACTCTGACAAGTACATGCTCATAGAAGCTCTAATAACAATAGCTAAAAGACAGAACAGGACAAATGTCTGCCTACTGATGAATAAACAAAATGTGATGTATATAAACAACTGAATATTCTTCAGCCTTTAAAAGGAATGAAGTTCTGATACACACTGTAACATGACTGATCTGTGAAAACACTGTGATAAGTGAAAAAAGCCAGTCATGAAAGACTACTTATCATATGATTCCATTTACGTGCAATGTCCAAAAGAGGCAAATCTGTAGAGACACAAAGTAGATCCCTGGTTGCTTAGGGCTGGGGGGGATGGGGGTGGGAAAGGGGCAATAACTAAAGGGTTCAAGAATTCCTCTTGAGGTAATGAAAATGTTTTAAATCTACTGTGATGATGGCTATATGTATCTGTGAATATACTCAAAATGAAAGAACTATAAACTCTAAATCAATGAATTGTATGGCATTTGGATTATATTTCAAAAAGTGTCACCTCTGCTCCTCCAAGAACAGGACAGAGAAGAGTTGAGGAATGTGTCTCCGAGAGAGCTCGTCTGCTGGGGGAGAGGTATGCCCCTTAGAAGAATGGAAGGAGACAGGAGGGCTGGGGAAAATGCACGTAAAATAAACACAGGTGAGCAATGAGAAGAGAAATTTGTGAGAATTGCAACTTTAGCACTTTGATAGCTATAAACAGTGGTTAAGTCTATCTCTTCATCTCTTAAATTTTTTTTAATTTTCTTTCTCATTGTAAAAAAATACATGCTCATTATGGAGAACTTAGAAAATAAAAGAAGAAGAAAAAGAAAAATTCATAGCCTCACTAGCCAGAAATAATTTCTGTTAATATCTGGGTATATTTCCTTATAGACCTTTCTCTAAAGTAAAGTTTTACACTTATTTCCTAGAAACTTATCTCTTAAAAATATTTATTAGTGTATTTTAATTATACAAGATAATGGGTGAACCCTATTCTTTTTGACAGGCTTGTTCACTGAGTTCTCTCTGCTTCTCAGTGTATATTGTCCCCATTAAAAGCCACCTAAAATCAAGGTGGATTTGATTAGAAAGGAAACTCAGAATAATAAAATAGAGGCTGGGGACATGGCTCAGTGGTACAGCACCTGCCTAGCCTGCACAAGGCCCTCAGTTCCATTCACAGTTTCACCAAAAAAAAACAACAAAAAAAAGCTAGCTCTTAAAGACTTCCCAGGCCTTGTGGACAAAGCAGTACCCACCTTTTTGAGAACTAAGAGCAGGGCTCCAGCATAACTAGCCATCTAGCCAATACCACAGAAGCCCAGTGTTTTGGTGCAGGCCAATGCCTTATGCAAAACCTTCTCTGCATTACTGTGGGAAAAGAAACTTTGGTTTCCAAAAGAAACTTTGACCTTTGAAGATAAATCCAGACATACTATTTTAGAGGGTAGAAAAAAAGACTTTGTAAACTGTTAGAGTCAATGAGCTTTTCAAAGGACAGTGACAACAGGTGATAATATCTCCTGACACTGTGGCAGCAGAGTGTGACAGGAGTAGTTTACCTCCTACTGAGTTTACTGTGCCTCTCTCATTTTTCCTCTTCTTTGTCTCTTCTGTCATTCCTTCCTAAACTTGTTCCAGCATAGGAACTAAATGCATTTCACTTCTACCTTTTTAAAAATAAAGATTTGTACCCATCCCCGCTTCTACTTTTCAAAGGAGATGAACTGAATATTTCTATTTCTCTCTTAAAGCAAGACACTTGAAATTAAATTAAGTGACATATTAATTTCCCATGTATGACTCATTCCATATTTTTTTCCTTTGTGCAAGTAGCCCATGGCAGACAACAGACGAATCTCTACCTATGAACTAAGGCAGTTTCTTCAAATGAATTGTTTCCAGAAAGTTTGGACAATTAGTTGTCTGAGATGGGAAAAACAATTTCATCGATAGGAATGTTTCTTGATGCCATTCCACTTTATTCTAATACACTCATGTCAAACACAGCATTGCTACAGAAACATAGCATTGCCACAGGACAAACTCACCATTTGCTTATGGCCGTTTGCTCAGGAAACAGTGCGTTAAAGGTGGAACTAAAGGATGGGGGCTCCTTTGCATGTATAAGCCATTTCAAAAAACTGCTACTGGGTGCCATGATGTTCCCTGGAAGGCTTCCATCATCCTGGAGGGGCAGTCACTTCTTTGGTTGT